GAAAGAATTAATGGAATCCCTATAGGAATGTCCTGGGCAGTAATGGGGTATTCCGTGAGCTGCTAATTCCGCACTGCAAAGAGCGTTTAGAGAAGAGCCCCTCGCTAACTGTGGCTGCTTGACAGAAATTCTGTGGCAGCGAGTTAGCTCTGTGGTTGCGCAAATCCTTATGGAACAAAGCTTTCCGTTTCTCAGAAGAATCTGAACCTAATCCTAATTAATTGTTCCTAGGGTCATTAATTCCAAATGATTCACTTTCAGGAGACAAAATGAAACAGTAGCCCAGTTAGCCGCAGTTTAATACTACCCTCTTACTGAATGGGCTGAATTGTCTCTCTGCCTCCAAGACCCTTTGAATTGAGCTTGCTAGATAAAGAGCGGTTGGGAACCAGGTCGAATTTGTGAGCCGCATCTTACATGAACACTGTTACTGTTTGGGGAAGGCATCCCATCCTCCTGTTGAATTGTTCTACGGTACATCCAGTGATTGTCCACGTACTGGGCTGTCGTCTGTTACAAGACGTGACATTATGCAGGAAGGGCCTGATCCAAAGTCCACTAAAGTCAACGGAAAGATATTCGGTGACTCAATGGGTTTTGGATCCAGCCCCCGTACGTCTGTTCACCCAGACCTACAGTGATGGTTGCCTCGTAAATGTGCCAAATAAACTGCAATAGTGCACATAATCTCACAGGACAGGTACCAAAGATCACCATTAAATTACATTGATTAGTTACTCATTTTGCCACCCTCCCAAACATGGGGACATTCTTGCTGTCTAATGGTTTCCTGCCTCCTTAAAAAAAATGTCAGTTTTCAATAGGAATTTCCTAGGTTGTTCACAGGGGTGTTTTGCTGACTACATTTTCTCCTGAGATCACTTCTCTCTCTCTACTACAGTCTTCACAGATAGCATGGAGGAGACCTGGGAGGAAGTTGGGAGGTAGCTATGTATTTCTCAAAGGGTCAAATTCAGCCCTTAGATATGCAGAAAGCTAAAAACTCCTTCTTCTGTAATGAAAGCTTAGATTCTGGGGAATTACCCAGATCACTGAGAAAAGCCTCAATCTTCTAAATTAATGGGTTTTGATTGTCCCTGCTAATAACCCGAAACTTATCACTTGCAGCTTTACTAAATCCTCACATTTTGTAACAATTGTAGCAAATTTACAGGGCAATATATGCTGAGAATGGAAAAGTTCCCTGGTGAGCTATTCCCTTTGCTTGTTGTCCCCTAACATACATTGTCCTCCTGAAATACCTCAGAGGTATGACGACAAGAAGCTCCCATGCTATCTCCTGCATTCACACAAATTGGCAACTGAAGAGCACCCAGAAGTACTAGAGATTAGAGCCCAGATCATGGGGAAAATGCACAGGAGGGCCACAAGTCAGTCAGAAGCTTTGGAGATTTTGCTACACCGTGGTGGTGGTAGTGTTGCCTCCCCATCAAATGGAGAGGAACCTCTGAACCTGCAAATCTTCTAATATTTATTTCCAGATCTTTGAACATCTATGGAGGACCAAGACATTAATGGGGAAGCCTTATATGTCTGTGCTATTCCTTAAGATCTCAGTATGGTTTCTTCAGACTTCCCACTTATGCCTGGGACAATCATCCCCCATTTCACAGCACAGTGTGGAAGTTCACTAACATAATGCCAACAGGGTCAGCATTATCTTACAGGGGCAAAATCCCCACAGGTTTCATGTTGCGATGGAGAGTGGCTCTTCTCCAGCTTCATTCACACAGCCATGTCCTCCTGCAACCACAGAGCCCCATACTCCTGGAATTTGCATCAACTGACTTCAATGAGTTTAGAGAGAAGAGCTGGGGGCTGTCACATTGGCTCAACCCTCCTCCTTCCAACAAAATGTTGACCGTAGCAATGGATTTTTGGCTCCTTTCAACCCCCCTATGGAGGGGATCATCAGCTCTAGATTATAACACAGAAAATAACCATACAAATAAAAAAAATCAAATACAAAGATAATTTAGTTTGATGGGTTCACAGCTACTCAACATTAGTTCTAGTTAAGGGTAGTTTAAATATCAAATGGTGAAAGGTGTTTTATTATAGCCTCAAAAATGAACAAGACTTCAACATACATTAACTGGGTTTTATATCTGATGAGAGATAATCATGTTAAAGTGTTTCTTTGAGCCATCTCTTTAACACAGTGCCTCCACCCAGCGCAATCAGACCCACAAAACGACGTCACTTTTTTTTTCCAGAGCATGAGGCCAGCTGCAGAGAAAACGTGGCATAATAACAATAACAACACTGCACTTCTAGAACGCCTTCCCATTGAGGATCTGAAAGTGCTTTACAAACAGTCATTGGTTGAGCCATAGAATTTAAATAGCTTCCGCTGTAATAAATAAAGAAGCTGTCTCAAATTTTGGTTTGTAAAGCAACCTGTTTGCAAACCTTAGCCCCATTGAAGTCAATGGGAACACTCCCATTGATTTCATTAGGGACAGGATTTCTCACGAATCCCAGTTCAGTGTGACTAAGCCATGCTGCCTTTCCTGTGTATTGTGAGGTTGTGCACTGTGAGGTCTATGTGAGTTTGGAAGGGACTCGAATCCTTCTCCCTACTTGCAAGGTCATAGAGCAGCCATGCAGCCCTTCCCCAATATTGCAGATTTAGCATATACACCCTAAATCATTATTTAAGCAAACAGACAGAACAAGTCTTATTTTATGACAAATGTTTGCACGCCTAAGGTGCATTGTGAGGCATGAGGCAAAACTACATGTATGTGAGTGTGTCTGTCCACCTGAGAGGACGTGTTTTATTTTGAAACCTCTCACCCAGCATGTCTTCTTGTCAACATGATACGTGATTTGATTTCTCAAAGAAAATATTTTGTTTAAGAGCTTTTGAAAGTGTAATATTTGAAACATACCTTTCCTATCACATAAAGAAACTATAATTTATATACGTAGTTCTTTAGTGCAATATATTTTTCATAAACAAGAAGCTGAATAAAAATATTAATATTGCCACCAAATTTGTCTTAAATGAAGTAAAAATAAATAGGTAAACCAAGCTAAAAATTGGCTTTTATTTACAATGGAGTAAATCTGGATTAAGATTGCTAACTCTGTTAAAGTTAATTAAATAAATCCAAATTGACACTAGTGTGAAATCAAAACTTGGCTCCTAAGGTTTTTATTTTCCTGTAAAGTGTCATGCACACCTATGGTACTATATGTATAAACAATATCCCTCTGATTTTTGAGCAGCTCAGATGATCATCTGGAGATAACAGATCTGCAGCAGTAGGGAATGTTTATTTAATAATAACATAATTGTAATAGTATAATATCAATATTAGTTGGCAAATAAGGCTTCCCACTCCCAAAGTATTATACAAATATTAACTAAATATGTCATTATATAATCTAATCTTATTAATTAAATAATTGTAACAAGTCTAACACTTAAATAGAGAAGTATGATAAATCTTTCATAGACCACAGTCCTATTATGTGACTTATGTAAACCAACCCTTCCGGGGCATGATTATGTGAAATGCTGAATGCCTCCTGACCACTGGCAACTCCCAATGCGGCCTATTTGCAGCACGAAGCATTTTTCTGGCCTCAGAGGCAAAAGGTCCCATTAACTTTATTGGGAACAGGATCATGTCAGTGGCCAATTTGAAAGCAAACATGCCATTCCTATTGTTAATCTAGGCAGGTGCGCCCTGATGTCAACTCCAAAATTGGGTCCGGAAGGCAATGCCACAAAACAGCAAATACTGGGACTAAATTAAAGCAATAAATAGCAATTCAGTGTGTATTATTAGAATATATTAGTGTGTGATAATTCCAAACACTCCTCCTATTTCAAAATTGTAACAATGAAGTACCCTAAAAAAATCCATGTCCTGTTAAGCATTCTTATAGCATAAGACCAAGCACAAGGGAGACAGTTACTAATACAACTGCAGGCTGGCACTGCAGAAGGCAAATAATGGGGGAAATGTTTATTTCATAAGCAAGGCCAGTTTTTGCAGCTAGAAGAATAGGCTGCCTGGATTTTAATTATGCACTAGGCAGAATCAAAGCCTAGTTATTGAAGCTCTGTTTACATCTGCCAGGGAAACTCTAACTGTTTCTAGTGAACCTTACAAGCAGGGCAGGAAAGCACAAGGAAAACAAGAGGCTTTTCAAGGGCCTGAATCCCATGCAGGCTTCACAATACCTAGGTTGCTCAGCCCCCTCTCTCGTATTTAATTAGTGATTGAGGCAGTTTGGTTCAATGGCTCTCAGCATCCCCACTGAACAAATTGTTCCAGCATCCCTGATTCCCCTGGGATTCACATCAGCCACCTTTGAGTGGGAGGAACGTAGTGGCCTGATCCCCACTTCCACATGGGGTGGAGATGTACCTCTAGCCAACTATAAGGGCAGCCCCTGTAGGTAGGGAAATCATAGTAACATCTTTCTAGCCACGAGTGATAGTGGGTGCTCAGCAGGCTAGAGGTCTCCTGGGGCAGGGGTGTTTGATGGTTCCTCACTGATGGCTTCCTCAATGGATGTCAGGCTTGAATGGGATCAAGGGCATGGTCAGTGTTCCCCCAGCTGTTCACAAGCAGAACCAATGGGGACGCCTTAGCTCTGGATCCTCCTCTTAAAGCAGGTGCTGGTTGCCCCTTGTGAACCCCAACCGGCTGTGTACCCGGCCATGCGCAGCCTAGGCTGTGGGCAGGGGGTTACAGTGCAGCTTCCCCACGGGATCACGGGGAAACCCGGCTCAAGCCATCGCGCTCCAGGAAGCAGCCAGATGGGACGTGCCCCTGGGGCAGGGAAGTGGGAGACAGTTAGCGCGCGCACATGAAAAGGCACGGGGAGGGGAGGAGCCATCGCGTGTGGGCGGGGCTACCACTCTAGGGGCGGGGCCGTGTCGGAAAAGACGGCGTTGGCCGGGGCGTGCGGGTGGGCGGAGCCAGCCGGGCATTGCGTCCGCGGCAGAAGAGGAAGAGGGCGGGGCTACGGTGGAAAGGGGGCGGGGCGGTGTCTCGCGCGGGGGCCGATGCCGAGTCCCGCCCCGCGTCGCCGGCCCCAGTCAGTCAGTCAGTGGCCGGGCAGCGGCGCTCGATGCGGCAGTGGCGGCTGGCGCAGGAGCGAGTAGCCGAGGCCGGGCGCCCCCCTCGCCTGGAGACAGCCGGACTGCGGGAGGGACTCGACCCTGGGCGGCTTTTACCTCAGCCATAGCCTCCCTCCCCCCTCCCCCGTCTAACCGCCACTTCCGGTGGCCTTCCCCCCGCGAGCCGGGTAAATACCCGCCCCCCGTCTCTCCCCCGCCCCCCTCGCTGCTGCGAGCGCGCCCGGCCGGGAGGATGATGAACTCGCTCCTCTTCGGCGAGATGGCGCGAGCCTTCGCCGCCGGCCCGGCCCCCGGCGCCTTGGGCCCCGGCAGCCCCGCGGCGGCCTCCCCGCCGGTGACCGCGGCGCTGCGGAACGACCTGGGCTCCAACATCCACCTGCTGAAGGGGCTGAACGTGCGGTTCCGCTGCTTCCTGGCCAAGGTGCACGAGCTGGAGCGGCGCAACCGGCTGCTGGAGAAGCAGCTGCAGGCGCAGCAGAGCGAGCGCGACCGCCGCTTCCGCTACAAGACCTTCTCCCGGGACCAGGCCGTGCAGACGGACCCGGGCCCCCCGGCTCCCGGGCACGGCGCCCCGCCGCCCGGCCCCGCCGCCGCCGCCGCCTCCCCGCCGCAGCACTACGGCCGCCTGCCCGGCACCATCTGGAGCTACACCCAGGTGCGCCGCACCGGCGGCGGCGGCCTGGAGACCCTGCAGGGGCCCGGCGTCTCCTGGGTCCACCCGGACGGCGTTGGGGTGCAGATCGACACCATCACCCCCGAGATCCGGGCCCTCTACAACGTGCTGGCCAAAGTCAAGCGGGAGAGGGACGAGTACAAGAGAAAGTGAGTGCGGAGGGGGGGCGGGGGAGAGGCCTGAGAGGAAGTCGGGAAATGAGGGGCGCCCCCCGTCCATGGGGGAGTTGATGGAAGGAGAAGGCTTGGGGGACCCCTCAGGGCAGCCGTCCCAGGGTGAGGAAGGGGAGCTAGGCTGAGGAATCTCAGACCCATGCGGGAACGTGGCTTCCCTTCCCCCCGACTTCCTGTCTACGGAGAGGCGGCCGATAGATATGGAAAACTTGGGGGACCCTCCTCGAGAGAATTTGTCCCTCCCACCAACCTGGTTGACTTTCCTGGGGGAGGGTGGGAAAATCTGGAGGCCCTTTGGAGGTTGAAGGCCCACTTTCAAGCTTTCTGTACATCTCTGTCTCAAAAGGAGCATTGCAAGCGTAATAGATTTAAAAACAAACAAACAAACAAAAAACCGTCCTCGGAGAGAGAAGCGATCTACTATTCCTGTTGGTTTACCTAATTAGCCCTAAATTTAGCTTGGGAGATGAGAACCGGTTAATCACTTTCATAGTCAATTTCACTTGCTGGCTCTTGTGAATGAGCTCAGTGCTGCAAGACTTGGGTTGCAAACACTGCAGGGGAAGGTTTGCAGCCAAACAAAAGCTGTTTCATTGAAATGTTTAAAAAAAACCCACCCCAAACACATATAGCTTGAAAAATTTACATTCATCTTCAATTTTTGTTAAGCCTTGGGAGATTTTTAGGCAAAATTAAACATGTCTAAATACACTAGACATACAGACACAAGTCTATGTGCACTGAGGGTGGGAGGCCAGTAAAAGTCGGTAGCTGGGATCCTGGAGACAGATTTCTATATGCAGTGAGTGCCCAGGGCATCCTGAAGGACAGACCTGGGCAACCGCTGCTAAATTCTGTTGCTTTTTTGGCTTAAATGGGGTCTCTCTGGCAGTTTGGTTTTGTAGGAGGGCGAATTCAGACAACCCTTTTGTGAGACAGCCAGGGCCATGTGGCATACAGCACATTCTGATTGCAATGCTCTGCATGGATGAGAACATTGTGTTCCTTATAAGCTGTTAGTTTGTCACAATTATTATGTCCTTGCAAATTACTTGTCTAAAAAAACCTTTACATTTGGAAGGTGTATGATACATGAATGTATCTTTTGGGGTTGCTCTAGTTTGTCCCTATGTGTCATGTTGAATAGACTATTGAAGCTGGAAAATGGCTAAAATGATAAATTTAAAATAGAGGAAAATATGTTGGCTTAAATTGGAAACAACACAAGAAAATCACTTGTAGATGTGACAGATGCGATCTTTCTTTGACTACTTTTAAAAATACCCTTCCACTCCTGATATTTCCTTGCATCTAGCTGTGTGAACCATGAAAATAAAATAATCTGGGAAATCCCAGTTCCAACTGGTTTCTATTAGTGGCTTTCAGTAGTATGACTACTGTGGGGTGGGAACTCAAATGCAATGCTGAAAAGTAGTTGATGGCTTTTATTCCAGGGCCATCTCTCATTTGGCAAGGCAACTTTTTTTTCCCCTTAAGGGCTCATATCTGAGTAACCCAGTCTTATCTATTCAATTCTCAGCTCCCAATAAATCGTACCAGTTATACTGGTTATGTGATGTGGATGTCTGTACACTATGAAACTACCCTCCTGTTTGATAACATATTTTTAAACCGGGGTAATAGGCCTTTAGAAATGTCAGTGGAAGCTTAGTGCTGTGACAGGAGTTGATTTGATTAAAGGGAAGTTGGGCTGTATTTTTTGTGTGCAATAGTAGTCACATTATGCCATGGGCTTGTTTTGTTTTCATTCTCTGTACTAAGAAGATGGATGGTGACACTTGGGAGAATATGTATTCAGCCACGTTTCATTTAAGAAAGTTATCCCTAGGGTGTGGGTTGTGTCATCAGTGTCTAGTGCTACTTTTCTTTTTTTAAATAGATGAACGGTGATTTCCTCTGGAGGAAAAGGCCACGGTATAGTCTGCGCACAGTTTTGCACTGCTTTAACTTTGTGTTTAGAAATTGGTGAAGTTAAAGTCTGGATGCAGTTATACTTGTATAAAAGTGCTTATGCCAATGTAGCTGCTTGTGATCTAATCACCTTTATACCAGTACAACTGCATCCACACTAGTGGGTCTTACTGCTTTAACTAGATCTGTTTCTAAACTGAGGAAGTTAAAGCAGTACAAAAATTGTGTAGATAAGTGCTAAGTGTTAACATCCTGAGTCCCCTTGGAAAGGCTTTTTTTGTAACGTGTCAGAATGAAAAGCTTAAAAAGGCAACAGTCAGGCTGAAAGTAAAATAAAATTTCAAACTTGCATTTTTAATGTCTCCTTCAATATGTGTATGTCCATTACTAAGTAACTGATTATTACAGTTCTTGTTTGCCTTTCCTGCCCCCCTTCCTTGTCCTTTTATGCCCTGCACTAGTCAAACTTAGATTTTATATGACCTGCTCTTTGGTGGTGTTTGTCTTTTTCTTGTGAGACATCAAGCCAATTTTGTGTGATTTAGAAAATATTTATGCTGTTTACTCTTTCACTAAGCTCTAGCAGTAATAATAGATTTCAGTTTTACTTTTTCATGCACTACCACAGTATGGAAATGCTTGCATTGCAAACACCATTAGGGACTTCTTACTTCCCAAACTACTATCTCTCTTCATTTAAAAAAAAACCACTTAAAATCATAGAAGTGTAGGACAGGAAGGGACCTCAAGAGGTCATTTGGTCCAGTCTCCTGCACTCAAGGCAGGACTATTTTTAATAAAAAGCTGGCTGCCCAGACGGGTTAGAATCGTGGCCCCTCAAATTAAGAGCCTGATGCTCTGCCGACTGAGCTAGCTGTCGTTGCCAACACTTCTGGTGTGTGTGTGTGTGTGTGTTTTGTAAAATCACATTTTGGGTTTAAAGTACCTGATAGTGCCCCCTGATGACTGAATTACTCCTAGCACAGTGGTCTCCAAATAAAGAAGTCAGTGGGTTTTGTTTCGATCACTTTTGGAAAAACATTTGTCAGCAAAGAGTTAAACATGTGCATAAGTCTCTGTGCCTCTAGGTCTTGCTCGACAAAGATGTAAGCGGAATCTGGCTAGCTCGCTTACTGTTAACTTGGAAAACAGACCTGTGTGCAATACTTTTTCTCTTAGCAAATGAATCTCTCTTTTGACAAGGCTACTATCTTGAGGTGGCAAGATGGAGAATCATTACATGGGTGCTCTAAACTACTGTTAGCAAACTTCAGCTTCCTTGGAGGAAGAGAACTAATATTATAGTTACTAGATGTGTTACAGTGCTCTTAGATGCTTTCCTCTTAGGTCAAGATGGTAGATATCTTGACAAGGGATGTCTTGCACCAATGGCAATGGTTGGTTCTAAGCCTTTTTGAAAGGACCTGTTGTCTTACTGGCTGTAAGATACCGCTCTCCTATGCAGAATGTGATTCTGGAAATAGGATTCAGTGTGTTAATACATTTTTATCCAAAGCAGTATACTTATACTCTGGTGGGTGTGACCACCTAATCAGGCTGGGCACAATTGTGCAGTATCTTATAGCATATTCGCCTTTCCAGTATGGAGAACTTTGGAAAATCTATTTTGAAGTGACTTACTATTCATGTTATTGGTAAGATATTTAAGTTTTGGTCCATGCTCTTTTTAACTTGGGGAGCTAATAATGCACTGGGGGATTTGTCATAAAATGCTAATATTCCAGGGGCGAGCTTAGCCATAAGAACATGAGAATGGTCAGACCAATGGTCCCTCTGGTCCGGTATCCTGTCTTCGGACAGTGGCCAATGTCAGATGCTTTAAAAGAAATGAACAGAACAGGGCAATCATTGAGTGATTCATCCTCTGTTGTCCACTCCCAGCATCTGAAAGCATGGAGTTGTCCCATGGACCAAAACTTAAATATCTTACCAATAACATGAATCTTGGCTAATAGCCATTGCTGGGCATATCTTCCATGAGTTACTCTAATTCTTTTTTGAATCTTGTTATAGTTTTGAACTTCTCAGCATCTCCTGGCAATGATTCCACATGTTGACTGTGTGTTGTGTGAAGAAGTACTTCCTTATGTTTGTTTTTGAACCTGCTGCCTATTCATTTCACTGGGTGACCCCTGCTTCTTGTGTTCTGTGAAGGGGTAAATAACACTTCCCAGTTCACTTTCTCTACGCCATTCATGATTTTATAGTCCTCTACCATATCCTCCCATTTTCTAACATGAACAATCCCAGTCTTTTTAATTCCTCCTCAGATGGAAGCTGTTCCATATCCCTAATAATTTTAGTTACCCTTCTCTGCATCTTTTCTAGTTCTAATGTATCTTTTTTGAGATGGGGTGACCAGCATTTCACCCGGTATTCAATGTGTGGGCATACCAGAGATTTATATAGTAACATTATATTTGCAGTCTTATCTATCCCTTTCCTAGCGGTTCCTAACATTCTGTTACCTTTTTGACTGCCGCTGCACATTATATGTTTTCAGAGAACTGTCCACCATGACTCCAAGAACTCTTTCTTGAGTGGTAACAGCTAATTTAGACCCTATCATTTTGTAAATATAGCTGGGATTATGTTTTCCAATGTGCATTACTTCACACTTATCAAAGTTCTGCCATTTTGTTGCCCAGTCACCTTGCTTCAGAAAATTCTCAAGGAAATATTGTGAAGGAATAATAAGCTTGTAAAGCATATTTTCTGGTGATCTTCCCTTTTTTTTTTTACCACAAAACAAGTAAAATTAACCCTACTGATAACACATACACATTTCAAAGTAGCAATTGTAAAAAGTATTAGCCCTTAAGTATATATCTTATAGGAAAACACACTGATACCAAGATGAGTGACAGATGACTACATTAGAGTTGTGCAAATACCATTGCTAGTAGTCATGTTTTGTTTGTTATACAATGATTATACAGTCTCTGTACCAAGCAACCAATTCACACAAGGCTTCTGAGTCTTGGTGACAAAAATATTGTCCCCTGTTGAAATAGTTGACTATTTGCAATAAGCTCCATGACTGGATGGCAAGGTGTGGCTAGCACAATTTCCTCTTGAATGTCAACATCTTGTAGTTCATGTGTAGCCTGTTTAATTTTGAACATGATTTTTTTTCCTATTAGCATTAGTTTTTTTTTAAATTCAAACTTCCTTCTGCACAAATATGAAAATCATGCCATAGTCACAAGCTGAAAAACACAGCAGTTGGATTGAGAGCAGCTTTTGGTAAAGAGGAGGTAAAACTGTCTAAAAAAATCTGAAGGTTGTCAAAGATTCTTTATCAGATGAGGTTCCACAAGCAAATTTTGAAATTACAAATGGCTTCCCTCTAAAAACAGACTAGTTAATTCCCCACGCCTTTTTTCCACCCACGAAAGTCTAGATTTTCTTGGAAGTGCAGCAGCAGCTTATTGTGAGATAACGTTGAAACATATATAACCTTTAGCTAATATTTTATGGTCAATAGAATGTTGTGATTGTTTTAAAATCACAAATGTGAGTAAAATCTGGAGCAGAAATGAGCAAAAGTTCCCATGAGGAATCAGCTGACTAAGAAATAGGCTGTGTAGAACTAATTCTTTTCCCCCCCGCTACTATTTTATTCAAGGATACATGAAAACAGCCGCTTCATTAAACCTTTTTCTGTTTCTCTTTATCACTCTGAATTATTAATTTCTGGATAATCATTTAAAATGGCTTCTGATTCTAGATCTGCTCACAAGTCCTTTGGTCAATTTTTGACATCTGATAACACTTCACTATTTTTAACTCATTTTCTGTTGCTATTTGAAAGACCTATATGCAAGCAGGAGAAACTAACCCTAGGGTAACTTAGATTGACTGTATACAAAGTAAGTAAACCAGAGAATCACTTTTCCAGTCTTTCAGTAGGTGTTATCTTAAATGTTACTTCTAAGAGTTAGAAATAAAACTTTGTTCATGCATGTGTCCTTAAGAGACGTGAGAAGAAAAAAATCTTCAACAACAGTTTATGAAAGATACCAAAATGTGCACTGCATGGAATTTGGTTTCTAATATGGTACAAAAAGGCAAAAATGCACACGTTGAGATTTTTTATTTTGAGGTAGGTAACAGTTCAGCTTCCCACCTTTTTAGGCTCTGAGGTGTGTGTGTGTGTGTGGAGATCTCCCATTAAGATCTGGGTGCACTGTTATGTATTGTGACTGTCCAGATATTCCTGTGTGTGGCCAACAAAAGTCTGCTGAGTTTGTGAAAACCCTCCTGCAGTCATTCCATGTTCTTCTGTCTGAATAGCTTATAAAAAAAAAAATCTCTGCAAGAAACCTGCTGATCAGTTTGTCCAGAGCTTTAGTTTGAACACTTGGATGGATTTATATTTTATGGGTTTAAAATTGTTTTTAATTGGTTCAGATATTTAGAATCTACCAGATATTGAGGTGTTTTTTTTTCTTGCAGCAGTGGAAAGAAACTTAACAGTTGAGCTGGAAATAGTTGTTTTTTCTCAGGATGGTCTTTTCATTTTGAAGATTAATAAAGTCTAGTTGAAGAACAAGAGATTATCTCAAAGTTGCTGCAGCCGGACAGAGTTTTCCATTGTCAAAGGCAAAGCATGTCGGAACGAACTTAAAAAAACAACAACAAAAAAACAAAAACAAAACAAAAAAAAACAAGATCTAAAGGAACTTAATAAAATGGTGCTTAGGACAAACTCTGTAGGAATGTGTAAGTAAACTTTAACTTAAATCAATGGTAATATGATGCAAATTTTTTTTTATTGGGTCCCCATGTATTATAACATGGCTTCTGAGGTGAACAGAAGAATTTCTTCAGGGTACTAGATTTTTCTCCCCTCCATGTTCCAGTTTGTTACAGAGCTAGTAATGCTTTCTACCTGTAAATTAATGTACTGCCCTCTAATTCGTAATTCCAGCATATTTCTGCTCTCCTTTTTACAGTTTAAAAGGGCCAGTTGGCTTTTCAGTAAAAGTGCTTAGTAGAGATTTCATTACCAGTGGGATATTTCTCCCAGCCTTGTTGAAGTAAATGCTCATGCTTCTGAAATTGAATGTTAGTGTGAAAGGAATTCTAGCTGTTAGCAGCAAGGGATAATTTTTGCTTGAGGAAGTGAGAAAATTATCTGATTAATGCTAAAAACAACAGCTGTGCTATAGAATATATCATTAATGATTATTACTAGAAATTAGAGAAGCAGGTTTTTTGACTCCTGTCTTTCGTTACTTAGACCAGCGATTTTTCAGCCTTTTTTCATTTGCGGACCCCTAAACAAATTTAAATGGACCCTCAAGGGTCTGTGGGTTGAAAACCACTATTTAGACTTTTTGTAGTCTGGGTGTAAGAAATGTATTTGTCTCTGAATTGTGCTCCTGTGCTATCCTTAATGTTGATGTTGCATCTTTGTCCCGTGTTTGTGATTAATTTGATTTTTGGAAAAATCTGTATCAAATCTTTCAGATTCTGGATTCTAATACAAGTAGAAACTAGAGTAATTGGCCAAGGAGTGAGGGCGCTCATGCTTTTGGGAAGAAGGCAAGGTACTGTTCCCCTTCAGTCCTTCCTTAGTTACATTGCAGTAGGGCCACCAAGACCCAGTCAGGGTTGGGTCCCGTGCCCTGAAGAGTTTTCTCATGTGTCTTGTTTAAATTTGATTGTCCTCCCTCAAATTTGACTTGGTTTATTACAAGGGTGACATTAACAATACTATATGGTTACATAGGCTAACAGTGTCAACCACTTAATTCTGAATCACACAACTTAAAATTCCCTATTCCATTACAACTTCTCTGCCCCTTTAACGATTGCCCCCTTGAAAAAGTCATGCTTGGGTTTGCAGTTTATTGTCCCCAACTACCCCTTTATCTGTTACTATTGGTTCTTTTAAAATTGTAGATCTAGCTTACACTTGAACAATAACTGCGATAACTGTCCCTTCCCCGGGGTATCTGTCCCATAAAGGGATAGGAGGTGATAGGGGTTCCAGAGTTCTCCACTCTTTGTTGCTATCAAGTGGGTCCCTGCAGCTGTCAGGTACAAAAAAGAAAAGTAAATTGATGAATTATGGAGCATATGCTTGGCCATTGTGGTCTGGGATTATGGAGGTGTTCTTTGGAGTCCTTGTTATATCGTGGGGTAGTTCTGCCTCTGGGAGATGAAAGGGGGGGTACCTCCCTTCAACACAGCTGGCTGCGTGAGGTGTGGCAGCTGGGATACTCTTCCATAGAAGGGGTTCATCTTCCCTCTCCATGAAGCCCAGGAAGTGGACAAGGAAAGTTCTAGCCGGGCTCCACACTGGTGCCTGGCTTCCATTTTCCCTGTTAATGAGGTGCTCTAAGCTTTTTGGAGCTGTGCTTTCCCTGTCACCCCATGAGGCTAAGGTGGGGTGGACTTCTAGGGCTCTGGAATGGAAGGAACCCCCCCTTATATTCTGGTTAGGGTGGTTGAGGGAGACTTCCATGCCTTTCAAAGGATGGCTGCATCCATGGAGAATATTGCAGTGCTTGCCCTTTAGCTTATAGCTTTTAATCCACCTATTTTGTGAGTCCATGTGAAAGTAAGCGCAGGTCTTCCAAAGGCTGAAAAACCAGATTCTGAAGTACACTTGATAGAGCAAAAACAAGCTCTCTTAAAAATCTTAAACCCAAATTGTCTCTGAAGACGTGTGCAATTTAGGAGTCAAGCGAAAACAAACCCAGGAACAAGCTATTTCTAGCTATTCATTATGTGTAATCATAGGTTTAAATTGCTGTATAGTAATGCATTTCAAGTGCTTCGCTGTCTGTAGCTAAGGAAAGAATGGGACTGGTGCAGAGCTCAGCAGCTGCATTTTTGTGGTTCAGATTTTTGTGGTGATAGTCTGCCAGGATTTTGCATTGGCTTCCTGCATACTTTTTTTTTTTGTCCTGTTGACTGCTTGCTGAAATCGTCTCAGGGTTCTGTTTTTAAAGCTTGTGTGTGTGTGTTTGTGTGTCTACATGACACTAAATTCAAAGGGGTGGAGAAACCAATTTTTTCTATTCATACAAGAATTGGAGATGTTTATTATTGGGTTAAAATGTTAAACTAAATTAAGTGTGCTAAAATTGGGGCCATTAACTGAAGCCATTTTGCAGCTTGGAATTCCATTAAAGTGTTCCCCCAGACATGCCTCCTTTGCTTAGTGAAAGGTTATCTAACACCGGCCTGTGAACTTAGTTTGTGGTAACAAACAGATCAGCCGGCTTCTACTGGGATTTGGCTCAGTAAGCAGGGCAAAGAATCAGCATATCCCAAGGCTATGCTTGTAACAGTCAGTTCTCAAACTAACTTGGTTCTTCCCACAAACAAATGCTCTGATACGAGCAGGAGAAAAGGATCTGTGTCACTCAGAATCCCCACTCACATGCTACATATATATTCTTAAGATTTTAGCATCAGTTAAGTCTCATCCTCTTCTGTGTCTCTCACAATTTGTATGGAAGCCTCTTTATTTTTGACTTGTGAAGTTTAAGGAAAAACTCTTCTTTTTAACCTCAGTTTTGACTAGCAGAACAATGTAAGATTATTATAATGTATGGTGGCATGTCAGATGAGCACATGACAGTTTCACAATATATCTGAACTCTACTGCCTTGTTTGGGATCCATGAGTGAAAGTGATTGTCTAGTGACCCAGAAATCAGTATTCATGTCAGCTCTGGAGAAGTGCTATAGGAAGGAGTATGGGGTTTCTTCCCAAAATGGAGGGATAATGCTTTGGTTGCTTTTCAGACTGAACTTTATACAGGTTTTCTTGTTGCACCTGGCTCTGTCATCAAATGCCAGTGTCTAGAAATCCAGCGGTTTATCAGATTTTCAACTTGTTTACGCATGCACATGTTCAGAATTGGTGTGCAAGCAGATAGAATCTTCTGGAATGTTGTGTTGGAGGACTAGGTATGCTGTTTTCTGCCATGGAGAGTGAAGTCTTCAGTAGCAAGATTCTCCAATTTGTAAGTGTTTTCACAATCATGACATTAATATGGCATCTGGTTAAAATAATTTTAAATAAAACTACTCTCATATCTGGCTGTAATATTGAAAATGTGTTTAAGTCTCTCTGTTTGCCTTGTATGTATTCATTGAGTTGTTGATCCGTATACAAAACATTACATCAATCCTGCCCCTGGGTCTACTTCAATAACAAGAACATAGAGAGGCCAGAAAGAATGGTGCTCTGTGCCCATTAATGATGTGTCCTGCTTGTTAGTGACCAGAGAACTCCAATCTAGTTGAATTGTTACTGTGTGAAGTTGAATCACAGATGATGCATGTCTTGAGTCTTTTTGTTTGGGCACTTCCATCCCTGCATAATTCATAACCATGTGACTGACAATGACTGGACACAGAACTCTAAATCTGAAACATCCTGCTGGAGTTCACGTATCCAATGCGCACCAGCGATTACTGCTTGGAAAAGGGTTCACAATCTAGTGAAGGAAAATTAGTTGCATCTGTTAGGATGGATGTTTCTATTTAAAGTTTTATGATCTAGAACTTGAAAATAAGCATTTGGGTTTGGATCAGACTTCTGGTTAGATTGATGAAACCCAGTACTTTTTTGTGGATTAGAGTTCTCTCCAAATGCACCCAGTCCTTCCAGCCTTGGCTTCTATCATCCTGGAAATTTCCAAGGTATATTGTCTTAATAAAGGGGCCAAATACATGGGATCTGAAACACAGTTTGCATCATTACTGTTCGTAATGTGATTCCAAATTTAGTCCATCTTTAATCTGATGGAACGTCAGTGGAGTTGCTTTGGATATGTATTAAAATTATAACAAAGTAAAGCTTGGCATTATGGACAGTCTGAAAAATGTCATTTAATTTTTTCTCTTTGGATGTTACACAGACAAGATAAATAATTTTGTGGCTCCTCAATTTAAATTTTCTCTCAAATAGGAGTTCAACATGCAGAGTTATTGTAAACTATCAAACATACCTTGGGATGCAGCTAGCCCCAGTATTCTGTAAAATGCAAGTTATATGTTGATGTTTGTTGCGTTAGCATAGAATAGTTTTCATTAGAGTTTTTAATGTACATAGTTTATATTCATAACTGAAGGTTAACACTGTTTCTCACATTTAAAGTATCATTAAACAGAGAAGTTGGATCCAAGACAACTTCATCCCACGCAGGCTTATGTTAAACTCAAAACAGGTGTGCAGCTATTACAAATGGGGCATAATTGTTAAAATACTCCTTAAAAATATTCAAGGTCTCCTGTTTCTTTTCTTTTTTTTTAAAAGAGAGGAAATAATTGTCTTCTCCATAACAGGTGTTAAATCACCTGCTCAATTCTGTTCTCAACTATAGATGCCAAAGCTTGGGAAATCAAATTGTCAGTGCTTAGTATTTTTACTGATTGGCAACGTAGTGCAATTCCAATGAATCATATCTGTACATGATATTGAGCCGTTGTTGGCATACTTTGTTGGTTTCAAAAACTAACTGCTGGCACAAATGCAATCACAAAGAGCTACTCATGTACGCAGAACCTCTTAATTTTTTTTATTTGGGTGGAGGGAGAGGAAGTATTGGCCAGTTGACAGTATCCTGGAGGAGTCAGGCAACCTGGGCTTTATTCTTGGCGTTGCTGCTGCATCTGTGTGATAATGGGTAAGTCACTTAACTTCTGTCTGTTTCCTCATTTGTAGAATGGGGTTAATACTTAAAAGCACTTCTTATAAAAGAAGGTGAGATTCTTAAATGAAAAGCAGCTAAGTACAAGTATTATAATACACAGTAAAACATCCTTTCTGCTAATCTGTATTCTTATCCACAGTGCAACAGCTGCTAGTTGTCAGTGACTGTTGAGTTCTTATTAAAGGGACACTGGAAGTTAAAGCCCGTTTTCAGGGATGCTGCTTGGGATTTGTCCTTTTAAAGAGGCATGTTTTGTGGCTGAAATAAGCTAGTGGTCTCCCTAATTGGTACTGAAATGTAACAAACTCCCAATGGTAGTATCTTAATATGCAGATGAAAAAATTCTGCTCCATAAACTCCTCTGCTTCTCTTTCCTCTTTCTTGGTGCTGGATTAGTTTATCCCTTTGTACAGCATATTGTGGGAACTTTTTAGTTAATAAATTCCATGTAGTTGTTGAAACTTGATATAGCCTCTTCCACCTTTTATTTAGTCAACACATACAAGATTATTTCCTTGAGATTCCAAGATCACCACAAGATATTTTAAGGGTAAGGCTATATTACTCCTGCTGCTATGAAATAAGTGCGGAATTAGCTGTACGTTGGTGTAACTGCTGTAGAGAGATTCACCTTTTCAGTTCTGGTTTCAAATGCACAAGTCAGCTTTATTTCCAAGAAATGCATGAAGCATTTATTGTGTTACTCTCTCTCCCATTGCCCCAAACTGACAAGCAGCTTTAGCAGATTGGATAGGATTTATTCCCTGTGCCATGCTTGTGCGGATTTCCTGCTCACTGGATTCTGATTTTTATATGGGTTTTGGACACATGACTCAAAGCATAGGACTCTTGTAATTGTGTGTTATTCTAAAGACAAGGAAGGGAGTGAGGTGATTTTCTCAGTCACTGTTCTCCTTGTCTATCTGTACATTAAAACAAAAATAATCCCAGATTGTAACCCTTGCAGTGTTGCATTTGTCTTCCTTATGGTTGGAACTTTAGTTGAACTCAGTTAATATCACACTAGCATCTGGGTATTCTTGATAACTTTAGTAATAAAAATGCATAATTCTTGCATTTGTACTTCACACACTTGTTCCTCTCAACAGATGACATTTATTGATGAGCAGTTTTGGCTTTAGTCAGTGTGTACATGGAACAGCATAATGAGGTTAATTTAGGTCAGTGGTTCTC